ACGCCCGGAGAATTTGGCACTGCGCCCAACATCACGCTCAACGCGCTCGACACCAACGCCGCAAACTCAGGCGGCCAGGGCCTCCCGCTCGTCGCGCTTATAACGAGCGTCTCGATGGTCGAGGCCATCTACGTACTTGCTGTACGTCTGGGTTGTGTACTCGACAAGCGCACCGAGCAGCTAACAGAGGCCGTCAATAGACGCAGGCTAGTGCTAGCACTCGCCCAGGTCAAGTCTTGGACTTCTCGCTCGAGAACGGTGTCCTTGCGCCTATTATCCCGAACACCTTCTCCGGCGACCTAGACGTACAGTCCGGGGATGTCCTCCAGTTTGCCAGCGGCAACGTTGCTCAGTTGGTGCCAGCTGAGTACTGCGGCTTCGTACGTTGCCTCCGCTCTCTCCATGCTCATAACAAAAGCCTTTACAACTTACTCAACTGCTCACTATTCTAGGCAAACACGGATCCGAATGGTGGAGGAATCGCCCAGCCCCTGCTCGGTTTGAACGGCGACACCTCAGACTTTGCGCTCTGCATGTCGGGCGACCTTGACATCGCTGTTTTCCAGCCTACGGCTGACAACGGTGGCGCGTACAGCTTAGACAGCTGCACCAGTGTAGATATCCTCATCTTCGAGCAATGAGGGCTTTCTTGACCACACGAGTTGACATTCAAACATTTGGCGGGGGGTTGTAGGGAAGCAGAGGTGTAAATCGTGTACGACCATCGCATAACATAGTTACCCCAAGAGCTTGAACAGTATACACGCAGGACCCTGCCAGCAAACAGTTATAGTGTATCGAAGTGTATCCTTCTCCTAGTTCAAAATCTCATATGATCTCATATGCATGGAACTGGAAGTCTCAACGGATTTGCAAGGAGACGGAGAATGTCCAGTTGCAAGCGCCCAGGCTGACGACAGCACCAATACACAGATTAAATTAGATAGACCAATACTACAGCACTAAGTATTCCAACTTGAACGATCGACAGTTCGAGTCGATCGACTGGGAGGCTTCATGCACTCGTCCTCGACGCTGGCCCAGGACAACCACTTTACGATACACTCAGCTCCTAAGCTGTACCCTGCGATTATAAATGTCGACGCGATCAGTCTAAAATACTCTTCTTGACACTCGGACTTCCTGCTAAGACCGTTTGAGGCCCCTCCATTCCTCATTTCAAAGGATCTCTCACGGACTACCGCTGTGCTCCACCTTGCGAACCAAAATCAAGCTCTCATGCAACGCCCCTCTGTCTGATGCGCCACTTGATGTTAATGCTTATATCATCCCAGCGGCGCTGTCAGCTGACCTCGCGCTGAGTACGTTGAGGCTGCACAGCACTGCTAGCTGCTCGAAAGGCGACGAGATCTTTGTCGATTGCCTTTCCGATGCGTATGTCGTCAAAAGTAGACTCTGAGGGCTGGCAGCAACTACACTTAGGCCATGGTGCAGGGAGTACTCCCGATGCCACTATCAGTGCTCTGTCTGTATAACGATGTCTTGAGTCCCAGTTTGAAACGCCCACAGCAGAACAGTACTATTAGCCGCCTAATAGAGTACTGCTGCTGCTGCGATCTTGACTGTGACGTCCGGCTTACTCGCACATCCGAATTAGAGACGCACGTCAGGCGGTGCAGGCACACTATGAAGCGCTCTGGCGAGCATTTGACATATCGATGGCACGGTCCCGGATTGCCGTGCAACATTTCCAGTGATTTCCAATTCGTACATTCTACGACATTGCTGAAACGCTTCTAGCGAATTCCACGAAGCCATCACTAGACATCTACTCAACGCGCACACGTGCCAATACTCTATGGCGAGTGCTGAGCGCGAGCGGCGAACGCACGGACAGGTATTTAAAGGCGAACATTGACGTTGTCAGCTGTGTCGATCCACAGAAAATCGAACTTTGACACACTTCACTCATAGTATCCAGTCCATCATGCTCGCATCGTCGTTCCTCCTCGCTGCACTCGCAATCCCCGCAGCGCTCGCAGGTCCTACTCTGCGCTTCCGCCAGTCGGGCTGCCAGGGCGGCGTCTTCGGCGAGATCGACACTGCGGCGAACATCACGCTGAACGCACTTGACTCCAATGCGGCCAACTCAGGCGGCCAGGGTCTTCCTCTCGTTGCGCTCGTGACGAGCGACGTAGGCGTCGAGACCCTTTATGTGCTCGCTGTATGTCCGGATTCTCCACACCATTGGCGTGTAGTATGGCTGACGCAGGTTGCCAACAGACCCAAGCCACCGCTGGCACTGGCTCGAACACAATCTCGGAGTTCTCGCTCAACGGCGGCAGCAGTATCAGCGGCCTCGCACCCATCGTTCCGAACACGTTCTCCGCCAACCTGAACGTAGAATCTGGGCAGGTGCTTGAGTTTGCCAGCGGCGACGTTGGCCAAGAAATTCCCGCTGACGAGTACTGCGGCATCGTACGTCGCTCTGATCTCCGCTTTGGTCCCGGGACGTTCCACTGACAGGACAATATTTACTGCGCACAGGCGAACATCGCCCCCAATGGTCAAGGCACCCCAATCCCTGAGCCGCTCCTCAGCCTGAGGGGCGACACAGACGACTTTGCGCTCTGCATGTCGGGCGACCTCGACATCGTCGTATTCCAGCCCACAGCGGACAACGGCGGCGCATACAGTTTCGACAGTTGCACCAGTGTAGACATCCTCATCTTTGAGCACTAGGATTTCGCATCTGGTAGACTATCGAAGCTACGCCCTGACATGACGAGGATTGTTGTACTGCAGGGATGCGAATTACGTAGGACTATCGAAATGGTTGACAATATGATCCAATTGAACCTCCCATGAGGCCCGTTCTACACCAGCAGAATATTACCTTTTACTTTTTCCACTTCTCCGGATGTCGAAGTCTGGAGGCGCTCAAAGGTCGGAAGAAGCGATAAAAGACCCGTTTAATGTTTATCTACTTGACTTGCTTCTCTGGCCAGAAGTAGACAAAGATATCGGAAAAGTATGTATGTGATATTTTTAATGCAGACAAGCCTCGTCGGCAGCCTACCTACTCTTCTGTTGTTGAATAAAGCGTTCCAAAATATTGTACAAGAAGAGTCAGTAACAACGGGTTGAAATGGCGCAACAAACGCACGAACTAGACCTGGAATTGCGACGCGACAACAAATCGTTCAGTCCACTGATCGCAGCTTTGCAGCCTCCCGACGTCGCTCGATCTTCCACTTTGACGTTATGTGTTGCTCGAGCTCCGACAGCGATGTGATAGGTTGCCCGAGCTTTCGCGGCGATGTTGTGTCCAGAGGTAGCACAAGGGTGAATTCAGACAGAGTGGTTATGTGCTCCGCGAGTTCCTGTGCAAATCTCGCGGATCTCCCTTGGCGCGCTGATATGGGTAGTCCCCTCCTATCCAAAGAGATTCCAAGCTTGGCGACTTTCAGTGGCTCGCACATGTCCACAATATGGGCCTATGAGTCTGTCAGACAAGTAGCACGATCCTTACATCAGTGACTGACCAGATATGTTTTTAGCGAAATCGTGGTCTCATCCAAAGTGATCTGGAGAGTGACCTCGTTCAGCGTTTCTGGTGTGTTCAAGAACACGGTCTTGAAACTACTCAAGTCGTCCTGCGTAAACCTGCGATGGAGCTCGCTTGCTATCCACCAGTTCACATACAACAGCAATTTGCGCGGGCGGGTGTCCGCAAGGAGGGTCCAGAACATGTGTGGCGAAAATCCGCATGAAAGGCGGGTTTCCAGACGTGTAAGCTCGCATTCGAGCGCCATAGCGTAGATGGCCTCCAAGTTACCACTCACTACCTTCAATTCTCGCCAGGTCGGAGATGACGCTCTAACGAGCATGTTGTGCGCGCGAACATTATCCATATCTCCACGCCACGTCGAGACGTGCAGTTCCTTGAGATGGGGACATAGATGTTTCAAGAGGGCTATATCCGTACAGGATTTGACGTTGAGTACTCGAGGCGAGGAAATTGTATAGATACAGGGGTGGATATGTCAAACCGTTCCACCGTGAGTTGATGCAAAGCGGAGGATGACCGGCTCTGATGGAGCATCTTTGCGGAAGTGTCATCGAGGGTATCGATGGTAAAACGGAGTGTGTCCAGCGGAAGCATGCCCAATACGGGCTCTATAATGTCTTTGATATCATCAACGCGGCGGTACACCACACACAACGCTCGTATACTCGGCAGTCTGCGCAAAGCACGACTTGGCTCTGGATAGAGCTGCAGTGTACACGCGTTCAGTGTGATGTCCAATCGCTCGAGTGAAACAGCGTTGTACAAAACTTGAATGAACCGCTGCATGGTCCCTTCCGATGGATTGGCTTCGTACGCTGAACAGCCATCAGGCTCTGCCTCGCTGTCAAGTAGTATGTACGCTTTGAGCCTCTTGAGACACCGCGTCCGATGGGCAAGATCACAGTGCATGAAATCGCAGAACGCCTCCAGCCGGAAGTAGTCGTCGACGACGATTGGGATGCCCGTAGAATATAGGGCATGGCACGTCATCATCAGCGCAAGTAACTCGTTGGAATCCAGAAACCACATGAGATAGTGGAGAATGTCATCGTTCAAGCCAGCTGGTGAGGCGAACCTGGGTTAGGTCACGATCTGAGTACCTGGAGCGAGTTGTGGATGGGCGATATGCACGTACTGAGCTCGATTGTGCCCGCAGACTCCCCCCATGCCTTCTGTGGCCTCCATGGTATTCACTCGGTTCCAGTAATCTGTGCGTCCGAATTGAGGCCGAGAGGCGCGGCGGGGTGAGGTATGTCGCCCGTTCACAGCTCGACGTGGCACTCGATCAGGTCAGAAATCACCAGCTCGCGCTGAATCATGTTGAACCTTGATTTTACCGCTTATCTCCTCGGTCTATTCCTGTATGCTCTCCTTCTGCTGAGCTGTGAGTCAACTCCCCGACCAAATAGATGATCCTTGCATCCGCTCGCATGTACGGCTGGGAGCCAAAAGCAAAGCAGAAAATGATTAGCAACAACTGGTTTCGATCCAGTGACCTCGGGGTTTCGATTGATCGATCATATGAGCCCCGCGCGCTACCCCTGCGCCATGTTGCTATGTTTTATTACATCCTTCACGCCGATCTAGTTCCGCAGAGCCCCGCGCGCTACCCCTGCGCCATGTTGCTGTGTTTTCTTACATCCTTTACGCTGGCCTAGTTCCACAGAGCCCCGCGCGCTGCCTCAGGTATGACCCACTGCTTCCAGAAATCCTTTCTCGGGCGTCATCGATGAGGTGTCCGTTTAGGACTCCAAGCCTCAAGTATCGCGACGACGTCTGCGAAGGATGGTAGCGAGGTTGAGTCAACAATGCGGCCGTGCGGTGACCGGTCTCGCGCCTCCTGAAGATCTCCCATCGGATGTAATCGTCAAAACCAGAGCGATGTTCTCCTTGAGTGGTGATAAACATTGTTTCAGCACATACCTGACTTGAGACGAGGTTTTCACGCGTAATTCACGTATGTCTCAGGTGCAGTTCAATTGACAATACAAAACCCCTGTTCTATGGAGAAGAGGGAGACTCCCCTTCCCAGCATTCTTGCTCTGATTCACCACCTTACGCTGCATACCTGCAACTGCTCACACGCAAAAGGACACTCAACATACACTGTAGCGACTGGCATCTCTCGTGTCATATCTTTCTCGTCTCGCGTCTCGGCCTGCTCCGCGGGCCACATGAAGTTTCGGGGCGTCTCCAAACTCGGACAGTCGGAGAAATAGGAAAAAAAGGCAGGCTCACATCTTGCCGATGCACTGCCTGAGACCTGTAGAATCAACAAGATGCCTCGTCTGATATGACCGAAGCAGGATCTCAGCCTGTACCCACAACATCAGAACAGGCCTCAAGGTAGTCCAATTCCAACATATTGTCGTCTCCATTTCAATAGTTCCACGTAATTCGCATCCCTGCGGTACTACAATGATCCCTCGTCATGTCAGAGCGTAGCTTCGATAGTCTACCACATGCGAACTCCTACTGCTCAAAAATGAGGATGTCTACACTGGTGCAACTGTCGAAGCTGTATGCGCCGCCGTTGTCCGCTGTGGGCTGGAATACGACGATGTCGAGATCGCCCGCCGTGCAGAGCGCAAAATCGTCTGTGTCGCCCCTCAGACTGAGGAGCGGCACAGGGATCGGGACGCCTCCACCATTCGTGTCCGTGTTTGCCTGTGAGCAGTAATCATTGTTTTGTCAGCGGAACGTCCGAGAATAACGCGGTGATCAGAGCGACGTACGATGCCGCAGTACTCGTCAGCGGGAATTTCTTGGCCAACGTCGCCGCTAGCGAACTCAAGCACCTGCCCAGATTCTACGTTCAGGTTGGCGGAGAACGTGTTCGGAACGATGGGTGCGAGGCCGCTGATACTGCTGCCGCCGTTGAGAGAGAACTCCGAGATTGTGTTCGAGCCGGTGCCAGCGGTGGCTTGGGTCTGTTCGCAGCCTCTGTCAGCCATGCTACACGCAAACGGTGTGGAGAATCCGGACATACAGCGAGTACGTAGAGGGTCTCGACGCCTACGTCGCTCGTCACGAGTGCGACGAGAGGAAGACTCTGGCCGCCTGAGTTGGCAGCATTGGAGTCGTTTGCGATCAGCGTGATGTTCGCCGCAATGTCGACCTCGCCGGGGATGCCGCCATTGCAGCCCGATTGACGGAGGCGCAGAGCAGGGCGCGCGAGCGCGGCGGGGATTGCGAGTGCAGCGAGGAGGAACGAAGATGCGAGCATGATGAACTGAATACTATGAGTGAAGTGTGTCAAAGTTTGATTTCCTGTGGATAGACACAGCTGACAATGTCAATGTTTGACTTTATGTACATGTCTGTGCGCTCGCTGCTCGCGCTCAGCGCTCGCCGTAGAGTATTGGCACGTGTGCGCGTCGTGTAGATGTCTAGTGGCGGCTACGTGGGACCCGTTAGAAGCGCTTCAGCAATGTCGTAGAATGTACGAATTGGAAATCATTGGAAATGTTGCACGGCAATCCGGGACCGCGCCACCGATGTGTAACAGCTGTTTTCATAACGGGGGGCATACCCCGTCGCGGGATTCACACATATGCGGATCACAATTTTCGAGCGCCGCATCAGTGCCGAAAGCCCGAGATATCCATTGACGACACGGTCAGTTACGACTTCAGGCTCCAGGTCTTGGGACGGCGTACACGAAGGGTAACAAGGCCAATACTTATGGAGCGAGGTTGTGTGATAACCAATGGTCAGATGTGATTTGAGATTGGACCCTGTGACTTGAAAAATAAGTCTTATGCCTCGCCTACTACAACACACCTGGACGTCAGGATAGTGCTGCAGGACGCGCAGGTAATTCGAAGCGCACCTTCAAAGAGTGTCAGGGTAGTAGGATGTCCTGTGGTCTTTTGAGCTCTCATTGAGATCTTCTAAGTAGGTGATCCTTTTCCTCTTGAGCACTGTCCTCTACAACTTCTCAGATATATGTTCTAGAGACAGAGTCGCCTCGCTCGTCGCCTCAGTTGTTAACTCCCGAGCGGGCGCGCCACCGGCCAGTAGATTGTACCCAGATCCGTAGAACTCCGACAGCCCCGACCGCGCGATTTTTGTGACGGGGTACGCCCCCCGTTATGAAAACAGCTGAAAATGCTCGCTGAAGAGCGCTCCATAGTGTGCCCAACGCGCCTGACGTGTGCCTGAGACTCGGATGTGCGAGCAAGCCGGACGTCACAGTCAAGATCGCAGCAGCAGCAGTACTCTATTAGGCGGCTATTAGTACTGTTCTGCTGTGGGCGTTTCGAACTGAGAATCAAGGCATCGTCGTACAGACAGAGCACTCGTAGTGTCATCGGGAGTACTCCTCCGCACCATGACCCAAGTGTAGTTGTTGCAAGTCCTCAGAATCTGGTATTGGCGACACATGCATCGGAAAGCCAGTTGACGAAGATCTCGTGGCCCTTCGAGCAGCTAGCAATGCTGTGTAGCGTTGACGTACTCAGCGCGAGGTCTTATGACAGCTGACAGCGCACCTGAGATGGCATAAACATTAGCATCGAGTGGCGCATCAGAGCGAAGCGCGTTGCAAGAGAGCTTGATTTTGATTCGCAAGGTGGAGCACAAGCGGTAATCCGTGAGAGATCCCTTGAAATGAGGAATGGAGGGGCCTCAAAAGGTCCTAGCAGGAAGTCCAAGTGTCAACGAGAGTACTTTGGACTGATTGTGTCATTAATAACCGCATGGGTACAGCTTGGGAGTGTGTATAGTGGAGTGGCTGTCCCGGGCCATCGTCGAGGGTAAGTACAAGAAGCCTCCGAGTCGATTGATTCGAACTATCGACCGATCAACCTGAGATGATGCGTGCTGTCATCTTAGTTTATCTAATCTAATCTGCGTATTGAGGCTGTCATCGGCCTGTGCGCTTGTAACTAGACATCCTCCGTCTCCTCGCAAGTCCGTTGAGACTTCCATGCATATGAGATCACATGAAGTTTATGAACTAGGAGAAGGATACGCGCAAAGTCCGAAGTGTAGCCGTTCAGACCGAGCAGGGGCTCAGGAACTTCTTTATCGGTCCTGCTTCCGCAGCGGCAGCTCATTAGAGGTTCACTCTCCGTGCCTGAATAGTTCACGTTTGTAGTTGTCGGTGTTGAATTGATTCGAGGTTCATCAACCTGCATTCACGCAACTTGTTAGAACTATATTGTGCTGCCTCTAAACAAAGACCTAAGGGGAAAGTCTTGTTTACGAAGCAAGTATAAAGAGTTCAAAAAGTAGAGGAATTAGTCTATTAGAGCAACCAAAACGACTGCGATGAAAGTAACGGTACGACACGGATAAGAGACGCTCATGGATCGATATTCAACTATGCGAAACAACGAACCTATGGACTGCGGCCGCCTACGAATAGTGCCGTAGAGGGATTCATGTGGACTCGACAGTGGGGAGGCTGTCACAGAGGTAGAGAAAGGTCCTTGCGAAGACTACCCATAGAGCCGCAGAGGGAGTTGGCATATTCGAAATGTCGAGAAAGTTTGGATTATCAAAGGAGCTGAGCATCGGCGAAAGGATTGGGGTTCCCTTGGTCATCTTCCATTCACATACCCTGAAAAATGGTCGACGTTGAAGGGGAACAGACGAGAGCTGTAGAGGCGCAGTTGTTGTTCACCGTGAGCGAGCGCGGAGGCATCGGGATAGCAACTGGTGTCCTAGAGACACCCCATATATCAGACCAGAACGAAATCCTCGGCACCACCATCGTATTCTTCTTCCGTGTCGAGTGCGTTCCAGGTCATAGCCGGCACCTGCAGGTAATCGACCGGAAATAGAACGAGACTGCGGCTGGCAGCAAGACCTGGAGGTAGCGAAGCCGAAGCCGTATAACTGGGGCTTGCAGAGACTAACTTGTCTGCGTCCGCGTCAACGATGATGATGGGAGGCGGAGGCATGTCTTCATCTTCGGTTGTGATCAGATCGTCGTCGGAGTCTCCGATTGTGAATATCACGGCCTGAACATCGGAGGAGAGAAAGTCCAAGCATTCAGGGAGAGCGCGGAAGCATTCCGTTGGTTTTCGAAATGGTTTGCTGTGATCGTGCAACGAAGACACCACCGTGTCGGACTCGCAGCTTGTGGTCGTGTCGGATACGCTCACGGTGTCAGCGCTTGGGGCGGGAAGAGCATTGCAGTCGGTTTGCTTCTCAGAGGTATCGCCGACCCTAGTGGCCGAAGTACTTCCAGTGACCATGTCAACCTCCATAGTCACTTGCATGTCAACCGTGAGTCTGACGATAGTGACATCGACTCACCTGACGCGACATGCCTTTGTCTGGGCGCCAGAATGGAAGGCATTTTTGCAGCAGCGATGGCTCTGAACGAGGCGAATCGACAATGACCGTGACCGCGAGTGCAAGAGGTTTTGTCCCTGGGTTCTCGGGGGACTTGTTTGGGGAAGCGAATCCGGGAAGGCAAATTCGAGCGTCGATGGGAAAGGAAGACACAGTGACAGCTTTAGCTTCGACGTCTTGGCGTGCATAGCGAGAGACACGACCGCGAACGTAGATCCATGCACCAAGAGTGAGGAGAACGGAGAGTGTG